GGATGTTCCAACCTTAAACTTTCATACTTCACTACGCTGAATAGTGCTAGTAAATAGCAAAATGACGATACGATATGCTATAGTACAATTGAAATGTCATCTTGCTATATGCTAACACTAATCGATGTAGCGATTTATCAAAATTCTAGTAGGACGCAATCAAATGAACAAGGAAATTGGGAAAACAAATCTTAACTTTTCATACCATTCTAGTTCGTTTAAGTGAAATAAATAAATTAAAAAAAGTAGATGCGTGTCAAAAAAAAATATCTACAATACTTGGGAATTTGCACTTAGTATAATTTTTATATTCAAGTATAATGGTATCATTTATTATTATTATTTTTTTATAACCATGGATGTTTGGATCAGATTGCGCGCACCTCGACTAATTCCAAATGGCCCTGAAGTTTATGATCGGGGTATTCACCTCATTGACCTTGAGAGGACTTGAATTGTTGACCATTGGAGAGCAAACATAAGGTCTGACCAATTGAGTAATCACTCAAGATTATAATGGTATCATTATCTAGGAAAAAATCACTCCTCTTTCAAATATTTCAACAAAATTAATCTCCAAGAATCACATCATCAATATGTGTAGATTAAGAAGAACTCCATGGCTAAATCAGGAGCAAGTCAATGACGGTAATTATCTACATTTTTACACACATAAAATCCACCAAACTATGCATCGATGGAACCTCTGCAGGAGTGGGGTATGGCTATCACTCCCATAGCATTTTGAAAATTTCTTCAAGTCTACGTATTTAAGATAATGTATTTATATGAGAAATTTGATGTTATTTTATTGACTACTGTGGAAAAGAAAGTTTCACAACTCAATTTAATGAAGGGTCATTTGTAGTTTGGCTCCAGACTTAATAATAATTATATTTTTAATAAGTCTAAACTTCAATTTTTGTAGGATTTGTATAAGAGTAATGCTATTAATCTCTAATGGAGATTATCTTTCGTATATGTGATATGTGACAGTGATGATATTATTATATTATCCAATAAAAGTTCGAATGCATTTTCATCTATTGGATCTATACATACACACCCGTGTGTGTGGGAGTGGCCCCAGTCCGGGCGGTCGACCCGATAAACCGGTGGCCTAGATCATATTTTGGGTTGGACAAGTTCATATTATGTAAATGCAAGAGACTTGAACGTGTTGATTTGAAAGATCAAATATCGAAACTTTTATTTAATTAATCAAAACTCAACGGTCATATTTAAAGTAGTAAATAAAATATGGATAATAACTAACTCTAGATTATGATAAGTATTAAAGATGAAATCAAACTATAAACGAAATTAAAATCCTAATCTAATTAAAACTATAAAAAATAATAACAACTCTTATTTAAAGCAGTAAACAAAATCTAGATAACGACAACTCTAGATTCCGATAAGAATTAAAGATAAAATCAAACTCTAAGCTGAATTAAAATTAAAAAATTATCCAAAATAACGAAGAACGCATTTTTTGAGACGTACACAATGGAATTGGACCAAAACAGGCTATAAGCTGGGTTGTTTCCACTCAAAATATAGAAAATATCTTCGAAAACGGACATGTCGAAAATTTATTTTTTCGAATCTGATCCCACTTTTTCACGAACTCTTTTTCTTTTTATATTGCATCACATATGCACATGTAAAGTTCTTTTTAAAAGACATTTTTTTGTCAATGCTCCTCGATTTTTCGCTAAAGCCTACTAAAAGTATAAATTAAAATTAGAAACGAAAGAAAATAATTACTTGTTTACGTGGTAGAGACAATAACTCAGAACTATTTACTATCACAACTTAAGGAACTATTTAAAACTTAAAAAAAAAAAAAAAAATCTTAATTCTCGAAGGATAGGTTGAAATACTGATCACCCTGTTGAGAAAAATTTAAAACTGAAAATTAAAAATTAAAACAAATTCTCAACCTGGACGTGGAAAAGATAAAAAGTAAAAACAAATATTTCTCGGCCTTGGATTGACGTTGTAGATAAATAATAATTAAAAAAAATAAAAATTGAAGGGTCGAGAATCTCAACATGAATAGAGAAAAATAGAAAAAATTCCAAATAAATAAATAAATGCAATTATGAATTAGAATTTCAAATTCTTCCCAATTAATGACTGGACAGTGAGAAATATTCAGTCTAGAGGAAAATACTCTTGCCATATATATTTGTAACAAGAGAGACATGCATTGTGACGTCAGCAATTTAGAGACGTGTCATATGAACTTCAAGATTTCGTGAAAGAAAGTTTTTTTTAATGAAGCTTGAGATGAATTTACTTCAAGTTGGAACATGAGAAAAGGGTGACACGTGAAGTGTTTCTTTACCTCTTCAACGAGAACCAGAAAAAGTCAACAATTATGTTAAAATCAATGTTCAAAAAAGCGTAAAGTATGACTAGTCAGTAAAGTCAAACTTTAAACTTTTTATGAACTTATATATAAAAAGTGCAAAACGTGGTTAGACGATTAGGCCAAGCTTCGACTCTAAACGGGCTTTCTAGATAATTGTATTACCCCTCACAAAAAGAAAATAGAAAAGAGCTACAAATCTATTAAGTGCTTCATTTTAGTATCATTTGTGATAATTTCCTTTATGACATGTAGGGCCTCAAAAATGGCAACTTTAGTAACTGGGCTAAGGTAGTACGCAAGATAAATTGTGCTTCTTCTTTCCATTTTAGAAAATTGATACAAATAGTACTAAACTCGAGAATATTACTGCAGTAGCATTCTTTTACAGACTCTCACACACTAATTTTTTGTTCTTGGCATGAATCACTTTTCTAGTGATTTTGTCAACCTAGTTAAGGAAAATAAAAATGTTTTTTTCTCGACTCCTGTCATGAAATAACCTTTCATAATTTTCTTAATATTTTTGTTTTTACTCTTATTGGGTGAATCAATATTTAAAAAATAAATAAATAATTCTCAACTTCGTCATAATAACTAGACTACAATAAGTAGACGATTCAACTTTCATGATGTCTCAAGTGTTGGGTAATACCCCCAAATTTGTACAACCACGTTGATACAATCCTTGGGGGGCGAGGTTGAGTTAATCTAATTGACTTAGAAGTTTTTCCCGAATGACTTTCTTTTCAAAGTAGAAAACTTCCTTCCAACAAGCCATGTACTCCTGTATTTGTAGCTTATTAGAGCCAATGTTGCCTTCTTTACTTGAATGTGTGTGTAGTCAGGAACATCCAAGTTAATAACTGAACTTTTTCTGGGTAAAAAACTCAAAATCGATCCTAGGTATTTGAGTAAAATGTTTGAATGGTCACTGAACTTTAACATGGTCCCGACTTACTCACTGAACTTCAAATCGTCTCATAATGGTCACTGAACTTTCTGTCGTTGCACCACATCCATCACTCACCAAATTCCGTTACCATTGAAACTGACGTGGCGGACGGAAAACACATGTGGCAGATGACGGCCGTTAAAAAATGACAACTCAACGGAAACATTGTTTCATTACTCATCCAACATACATTTTGTCACATTTCACTCATCGAACTTCAAAATGCTTCCCAATGGTCATTCATCTTTGAGATATTGCACTTCATCCATTATCCGTCATATTTCGTTCACTTCGTTGCTAATGTTTGCATAGAAAATCCACATAATAAATTACAAATGTTAGAAAAATCACAACTCAATGAAACTATCAATTTATTAAAATCACCATGTGTGAAANGATTTTGAAACTTATCTTTATGTAGGAATTATTAAGTAAATATAATATTTTATAATTTTAGGTCTTTGGTATGTATTATTTGAATTATTGAATTTTTTTCCAATGATTAAAAATTTAAAATAAAAAATATTTTTTTACGCCTAACTGCCAAAGTTTCGCCTAGGCTCACCCAGGCTCGTAAAACTTGAAACTTGGTTTCCATGTCTAGCTATCTTTTACGCTTTTTAGAACACTGCTTATTAGAACCAATGTTGCCTTCTTTACCTGAATTTGTGTGTAGTCAGGAACATCCAAGTTATTAGCTAAACTTTTTCTGGGTGAAAAACTTGAAATCGATCATAGGTATTTGACCATTAGATATTGACGTCTTCTAATCGATATAAAAAATGTGAAATAGAGAATTTTATTGAAAACCAATTCAATTAGAGAAATAATCATGCTACATGTATATCAACTTTTATATATTCCTTTAAGGCCCTGTTTGGGAGGGATTAGATTTTTCTACAGTAAATCAATTCTCATTTTCAACCACACACTCTTCAATAAAATATTATTTTCCATCACATCAATACTTTTTTCTTCTTTTTCAACCACACATTTCCCATCATATCACTATTCAAAATCAATTCTTCCCCCAAAAATCTTTCCCAAATAAGCTCTAAAGTTGTACCACATTACAAAACACCATTGAACAGTTCAAAAACAAAAATAGTTTTCTCATGCACAATTTTAAAAAAACGAAGACAATGTCACAAAGAATGTAAAGGAAAGAACGTACATTTGGCATTATTGTTAGAAAAATATATATGATTAAATTAAATTTGATCAACTTATGATATAATTTTTATTAGATAATATTTAAAATAAAAATTAAGGTGTTGAATAATTGATTGCTCGTTACCTAACAATAAATTTTGAGAGTGATATAGTAAGCATGCCGGAAAAAAAAAGATTAAAAAAGAAACAAAAATGTTTAATACGAAGATTGCGCTCGCACGTGCTAACGTGTACAGTTGTACTCCAACCGTGTGGACCGAAACATAGAAATCCTATATTAGCTGGTCAACAATCACAATCGAGGCATAGATATATACAATCCAAAAACCAATTTACGACGTAACACACTGGAACTCTAGCCTCTGTGTGTAAGCTCAATTCAAATTGTCAAATTCCATGCACTTTTCCATAAATGGGGATGAAAAGTGATCGTACTCTTTTTCTGGGTTTTCCTTGGGGCGGTCAATTTGTTTTATATTATTTTTTATAATCTGAATGGTTTCTTTACGGGGAATAAATCTGAGGCCTCGTTTGCCATTGAAGCAAGCTTTACCAGAGGACCCAGAAGAAGAGGAGTATCGGCCTTGGCGAAAGAAGCTTTTATGTTTCTCCTTCTCCCCATATTCAGTCAAAATGGCTTTCAAATTCAGTTGGATCTCTCTTTTTAGAATATTTTTGCTTTGGCTTTTAATTGCAGCCATTGTCACGGCTTGCCTTACTCTCCCCGTTGAAAAGGTCAGGTTTTGTCTTCTAATTTTATTTTTGCTTAATTTTGCTCATTTTTTCATATTTTAGCGTATATTGTACTGTTAAGTGATTTTCTGCATGTGGGTTTTTGATTTTTTTTCCCTTAATGTTGTTTATTTGTGCTTTCTTGGACTGTTTATGAATGTTATTTGGTCTTTATAATTATATATGACTTTGAGGCAGTTCCGTGATTAATCATTCAATTATTTGGACAAATGAATTCTTTTTCAATACGTTTGTTGGGCATATTTGCAATTTTCCTGGGGAAAAGAGCAATTATTTTCGTTCGAGATAATTTATCTTACTTCAGTATCAAGTTCATGAGTAGAGTAGAAGTAGAGGCAAAAGTCAGTCAATGACCTACAAAAAGAAGACTTTCTAAACACCAATGAACTTACGGTTATTGAATATATTTATTATGTTCTTGTCTACAAAGATAAAATATTTTTTTTTTGCAATTCCAAGTTATGTAATGTTATTGCATTGGCTCCATTCTTCCTCCAAAAGTAATTTTAGTGTTCATTATGAATGCTACTAAACCTATATTGATACGGATCAAATAATTAATCTCTGTAGGAACAATCAATATTTGTTTTTTACCCCTTCCATAACCGATCAATGAGAATTGTCGTGTATTACCCAATCTGATTATTTTTCCTCTTTATATGAGGTTCAGTTCACCAGCAAAAAGTCTTTTTAGTTTTTAGGACCGGCATGCAAAGGTGCTTCTTTGTTAAGTTGTAAACAAACCATGCCTACTGGCTTGCAAATCCTTTCGTGCATAATATAGTGTAAATCTTATGGATCCACAAAGACTAAATCAAAGTCACCATTACCTTTATTGTAAAAGAATAATGTGTTTCTCACTCTTGATCATGTAAACTGAAAAACCAAAGAAATCAGTCTAAAACAGTCAATTATGTGAAAATATACTTCCAACTCTTTATATGCTTTTCCCCACTATGAATCAGTGATCTATCTATGCAGTTCAACGCTCTAATTCCCCGAGTTTCAATGTTGATTTATACCAATCTTTACTTGTTAAGCTCTTTTCTTACTGATCATTCTTTTTTGAGTGGTTCAAGTATCAAACTTTCTACTATTTTTATGCCGAGTGAAACACATGAACTCTCAGAAACTCTTTATCCTTTTTGCGCACGATATAGCTCAAAACTTTCAAACCTTCCATCCGAAAGCTCTTTATCATCCTTCCAGTGAACATCAAACATTGATAGGGTATTAGGGTGTCTAAATTTTTAAGTGTGATGTTCTAATTTTCACATACCCTTGCTTCATATTGATGCTTCATCTTGGGTTCTATCTGGGCATCATCATAATTGGGTAATCCCTTCATCATTATGTAGAACCACCACATCTTCTTGGAAAAATTGAGTCAATGCTAAGTGTGTGTTTGTCTCCCATTATTATAGAAGAAATGGAATAATGAATAATATTTTTTTGGAAAATGTGTGGTTGAAATTTAAAGTACCTTTATTGGTTTGTGTGTAGAATATTTTATTGGGTAAATGTGTGATGGAGAATCTTACTGTAGCAAACAATATTTTGGAATAATGTGAGACAAACATGGCCTAAATCTTTCCTTCTCCTACCGGGAATTTTGTTTGCATTTTGAAGCTTATTTAGATGTTTTGTATATTTCCTCTTATACTTGTCTGAAAATGAAAGAAAGAATCACATTGACACAGTAAATTGATGCATCCTCCTTTTGTTTTTTGCGTGTTTAAGATCAATATTACCACATCTTGGTTGTACCTGAAGGATGATTGCCTTCATGAGCTGTAAACAATATGCAGAAACTCTGTAAGATGGTGGTTGACTAAGAAAGTAACAGAGTTCTATCTAGTATTCTCTATGTGAATTTAGACCTCACTTAAGTACTGGCTTCTCCTTGGAGATGTGATGGTCAACGAGTACTCTGTTTTTTTAACTAATTCAGCTTGCTTCAATTTCATAAAAATTATCGCCTTATTGGAAATTTTTTAAAAACCAGTGCTTCCCAGGTTGAAATTTGAATAAATAAACCAAGATAAAATTAAGTTAGAAAGTAAGCCAATTTACTAATTAGAAAAGGCATATTTTCACTGGTTTTTCATTCTGATGACTACTGTATAAGCCACTATGTTATTTGATTTATCATTAGAAAAAACACATTTCCCACTTGTTCTGGAATGTATATAGATCTGTTAGACATTTATCTCGACAGATAGCCTTTAATTAATATCTCTGTAGATTGAATGAATGATTATTCCTTATGTATTTTATTATCCTCTTGCTGAAATGATTGTTTTCTGCAGTTGTTGAAGGACTTCTTAGTATGGATAGAGCAAGATCTTGGTCCTTGGGGTCCTCTTGTGCTGTAAGTACTTTTTTATGTACTGATGTTGGGCAAAATGCCTCAAGGCTCACAAAGGGAAAATGCATACTACTCGATTTAGCTTGATTGGCTAAGCTTTTAAGTGCTTATAAACAGTGGGTCATAAAGAATGTGTGATTAGAAAGTGGTAAAAGTTGTGGGTTCTAAGAGAAACGTGGATAAGTCATAAGAATAGAGTTTGATCAGCTCATAAGCAATCGTAAGCTTTGCGAATAGCTCTTATACTTTTTAGAGAGTGCTCAAATCTACCATAGTTGGTGTAAGACAGTTTTCAGTTTCTTTTCTGCTCAATAACGTATATTAGTTTATTAACATCAATATAATTTACTGATTCTCATAGACTTTTTAGACGTTGCTTAAATCTAGCATATTAGTTGGTGCAAGACAATTTTCAACTGCTTTTCTGCTCAGTAACGCATATTAATTTACTAAACTTCAATTTAATAAACTTACTCTCACATATTAAGCTGGTTATAGAATGTATCACAAATATTGTAACTATGAATGTCATTTTGAGTAACGCATGCTTTGTGAACCTTGCAGAGCTGTTGCATATATTCCTCTAACCGTACTGGCGGTTCCAGCTTCAGTACTTACGGTAAGAATTAATATCTCTGTTAATTATTCAATTTTATTTTGTTCTCTAATTTCAACAAATTGTTTTGAATTCCAGAACATCAGTAATGGTTATTAGATATATGAGTCTTGTTTTCTGTTGATATGTCAAGATTGCATGGGGTAAATAAAGGTCATTCGTTAATACCCATCCATTTTCTGGAAGTGATTTTTGCTTGATTAGCTTTCCACATGTCAACTGATCTACAGACCTTTTCTAGTTATCGCAGCATTCTCTAGTTAGAGTGGCTCAGATATAGAACTTAAGCTCCATTCTTTTCCTAATTAGTGGGAGGGAAAAGAACAAACAAGAAAGTAGAAATTTTGGTTTTGATAAGGAGAAGGTAAGGGCCAGGAATACTTCAAAATTCAAAATTTTGTCCAAGACGTTATTTTTGTAATCCATTGATTTCCCCCATTCTTATTTTAACTAATCATCCCCTGGATTCCATTATTAGGTTCCCCTTCTGGAAATCATTTTTGATCTCTCATTTTGTTTCCTTTTTTTTTTTGGAGGTTGCGGGTGGAGTGAACTGTTTTGTCAGTACCGGTGTCACTGACACGGATACATAAAATAGTTATATGCCTACATGGCTATCCAAGTTATCATGAAATCCCTGTAGATTGTGTGCCATTGAATTTTCCGAAGTGTTTGTAATGAATTTTCTGAAATACTTGTTCTGAAGCCCGCCCGTATTTATTACTACCATAATACTTACTTCTTGTTCTCTGTTTGTTTCATTTAGTTTTATCCCTTCTAGCATGTGTCTTAATTTGCCCAAATTTTGGAGTTCTTTGAAAATGCATGAACGGGTTACTTCTCATCGTCTTATGCTTTCCCAATTGAACTGAATCCTTTTGTGCTAATTGGTATCATTTTAGCTGGGTGGTGGTTATCTCTTTGGTTTGCCAGTGGGTTTTGTTGCCGATTCTATTGGTGCTACAATTGGTGCCGGAGCAGCATTTCTTCTGGGTAGAACTGTAAGTTTTTGTAGTCTAATACCAGCATTTTTTTCTTGCTAATAAGAGCTTGAGGCTCAAAGATGAAACTTTCTTTTCTTCATCTAGTTTTCTACTTTGTTCATACCTTTTACCTTTAGTGGCATACAAACATCTATAAAAATATGTTTCTATTAGATTTTCTTTCTTATTATTTCTCCATCCATCAATGTACAGATTGGGAGGTCATTTGTAATTTCCAAGTTGAAAGACTATCCGCAGTTCCGTGCAGTTGCAATTGCAATTCGGAAATCTGGGTTCAAGGTCTGCATGTTTTCTCCCAACTGATCCTGTGGCTGTGAACTTCAGTTGCTTATTCTTGATGTGTGCTCTTTGATTGAAGTCTGATTTGGATGGTTTGTTTGATTTTTACATTCATATGGTGGACATATATGTAATCAATTTTCTCCTCTGGTTGAACAGATTGTGTTGCTGCTTCGGCTTGTCCCTTTACTTCCATTTAACATGTTGAACTACCTCTTATCCGTGACTCCAATCTCCATTGGACATTACATGCTAGCTTCATGGTTGGGCATGATGGTATGAACACTTAAATACCGTCTCTTTATTGCTAAATTGCCAATGAAATAATGGCATTTTATGTTGAGCACTGGTGAAAAGCTATACATTTTTAAAAATTCTATGCTAAATTGACTGCTACATATACCTTAGCGCAAATTTATGCATGTTTTGTCATAAATGCTTCCATTTATTTGATTATCGCCTTGATTCACATCTGTGCTCTTTCTGCAGCCAATTACTTTTGCCCTAGTGTATGTTGGGACAACTCTGAAGGATCTTTCTGATGTAACACATGGATGGGGTGAATTTTCAAAAACCCGTTGGGTAAGTGCCTTGTGTATCTTTGTCCGGTTTTAATTTGATGAGCTCATTCTGTTGGTAGTCCTTTCATGTTTAAAACCTTGTTTAGAATGTGGGTGTCAGTATTTCTTGAGGAAAGAAACTAAAAATGATTAACTGGATTCTTGTGGGAGTATATAATTATAGAATAATGGTATTTGCAGTCGCTCACTGCAGCAGTCACCCTATGTGGCACACACATATCGAGTGTGTATTTAATGCATTAATATGGTCAAAAAAACTACCACATTAATGCATCAAATAACTACATGACATGTGTGTGCCACATAGGGCTACTGCTGCAGTGAGCGACTATGAATAGCATTACTCATAATTATATTCGATTTCGTTTAATTTCAAATTTTAGTTGAACTCTTGAAGCTACAAATCTACAGACTGCTAATGATGGATATTGTTATCTGTGAAAATGAGATGATACTGACTTCATACACATTTTGAATTCATTGTAGAAGCCTGAATTACATTCCTCGTTTATGGCTAACTGTGATCCCAAATTTCATCTTTCACGTCACTGTAATGATGAAAAGCTTCACTCTCTGTTATGACGGTGCCCGTGTATTTACTATATTTATGTAATTTGACATTAGCTCCTTTTTTATTTGATGCAGGCACTGATATTGTTAGGCCTTGTGATTTCTGGTAAGTTTCAAATGTATTATTGACCACTTGATCATCGCATTGTGAAATTCCCTGCAAAAATAATTAATTGAGGAAGTAGACCAACTTTTGAAAAAATGTTTGGCTTGAGGCTTGTCTACTAAAGATTGTACTAGTCAGCATAAAAGGCGGGTTTTGAAAACTTCTATGTCTATGATGTTTGAACATCAAAAGATCATAAGAACCTAATTTTTAATGTAAATTTAAATGAGGCAATAGATTTTAGATACCGAATGTGATTCTGTGAGCACCTCTGTAAAATGCACCAGTTCTGTTGCAGCAGAAGTGCTTACTGATAATGTAACTTGATTTCTGATTTTCAGTTTGATACGAAAAAGATCGCTGAAGATTTTTTTTATTTTTTTTTTCTTGTGGCATTATGAAACAATCTCATGTTATCATTTAATTTTCTTAAGACTATAGATTCTTGTTAACTATGGGACCAGGCTTTGCGACTTTTAACTTGTAGTAGTTACATTGGTTTGCTGTTTCTTTTCATCAAATTTATTGGTTTCTTGGAAAGATATATTTCAATTTATTGTTTTCTTTTCCTCACTTTTCATTGGGTTTGCCTGCAGTGGTATTAATAATTTGTGTTACTAGAGTTGCAAAAGCTGCTTTAGAGAAAGCGTTGGCTGGAAACGAGGATGTAGATGATATCGCATCACCACAATTACCCATTCTGGCCGACTCTGCTATAAATCTCCACGATCCGCTTATAATCAAGATCGATACCCCTCAAAATCACCATGAAGTATAGTTTACGAACTTCGGAAACTCGTCTCCTCCTAAATGCTATACATATCGTTTACACTTATCATCTGCTTGATGATAGTTTTGATATTCTTCATCTGTACAGTCAGAGTCAATATATATTTACAGTAGATGGCTGGGACAAAAATAGCTTATTTCTTATTACAGCTTATTTTTCCATAATTATACTTTCCGGCTAACCACAATTAAACAAAATAAAGAAAATAATTATTTTCAAGTGCACTTTGTTAATATCATATTTTTCTCCTGTAGGTTATGCTCCTTGTTTGCATATTTCTTGTCATCCGTTTTTGCATTTCGATCAATTGTTGTCTGATTTTATGCATGTACAGGTCTATTCTCCATCTTGCAAGGTGAAAAGATTGATTTAGCCTCTATGTAATACGCCTTTTTGGCCAAGATTTTGGCCTTGGTTTTAACGTACTAAGATGTTTGGTTTAGCTAAAAATTAGATTTTAGTAGATTTTAATAAAAGTTGATGAGAGGTTAAGTTGAAAAGTTACGAGTCACATGAAATGTGTGGTTAAAATTAATTCTTGATTTTGATGTAGATTTTTATGACTTTTTTAACTAAACTAAAGTGAGGATTAGAGTACTAGATGATTTCTTAGTGGTCAAATGTTTTATTTGTTCATCTTGTCATTATTTTCTAGGATTACAGGGCATACTTGGAGGTGTAAGATGTGCAAGGTTGGGTGGTCGTACGGACAGTTTGAACAAAAACTGCGGCTTTTGATCTAGTCATAACCTAAAACTATATATCGAGACACATGCAATCAGGGACGGAGTCAGAAAGATATATTAGAGTGGGTTGAAATTTTTTTCCTATGAACTCATACCATACAAAATGTTCTATGCCACACGATATCTAATTTAAAAGCTTATATTCATGATGTTCGTGACAAAGTGGATCAGAATATATTTTTGGAGACTCGTAACAAAATTCAAACAAATATATTTTTAACTAATAAAATTAATTATAGAACATATTACTTTTATTGATAATCATGGTTGAAATAAATAAATTTCAACTCACAAGTATAAATAAGTAATATACGAAAAAATATATTAGAATAAAATTAATTACTTTAGTCAAAACATGTGGCATTTCATACTGTACAAATATATATGTCATTTATCTTTAATCAATAAAAATTATTTGTTATATAATATACTAATTTGATTATAAATGAA